TCATTTTGGTGTCGGAGATTAGAGCGCAGTCTTTCGTGGTCAATGTGGAGGAAGGTGAGGTATCCGTTGACGGCTGGCATTTGATGGGTTCTTCATTCGTCCCCTGATGGCTTCATTGGCTCGATTCCTGTTGTGCCCGGTCGTTGCAGCTCGGACCTTGGCGCAGCAGCATCCGGACATCCCCAGCCATTGGGCTTCGCAAATCGGGCGAGTGGGGAAGCTTCAGGGCGCAGCTTTGTGTTGCCTCCGCAGATTCACCGTAAAGGTATACTTTTGACATCTTTTGACCAGGTATTGGTGCAGGGCAGGGATGCGCAGGGCCCGTTTTCAATGTCACACGCCGGCACCAGCTGTGTGTTGCACCTTCATGTTTCCACAGGAGCCATGTGCTGGGTGCGGTCGTGTCGTCTCTTCGCGTAGAAAGTTGCTAGGGTGGATCCTCCATTGGAGGTACACCCCTCTGTGAAAGTGCTAACAAGCACTGGGACTGGATCCGACACTTCGAAGAAGCCTTTGGTTGGCGCCGAGTTCGCTGCCGCGCGGAGTTCACGGAAACCTTCTCCGGCCGGACGAGTCTCTCGCAGAACGCGCCGGTCGAAGTGCGATGCGAGGCGTGAAGCCTTGGGGGCGTTCCAGCTGCCGCTCTAGCTGGGCCCAACGAACCCGCGTTCGGCCGCGAGGAGGAGCGGCAGACGTGCAGGGTGACGTCTGGAACAGAAGGTGTGCGGTGTTTGCTGAGGCTTTTGGTTGGATCGCCGTCATGTCATGGTGATGGCCGTGATGATCGGGTTCACCGACCCTCGCGGGTGTTTGCAAGAGGCTGGTGGAAGCTGTGTTGGCGTTGTGCTGAGCAAGTTCACGCTCAGCGGTTGCGGCAGCTGTGCGCAGTTGGGACGCGCTTCTTCAAGCAAGTCGTGTGGCAGAGGCGGCACAAGTTGACCGCCACGTTGCAAGGCTTGCTGCCAAAGCCTACATGCAAGGCCATCAGCGCGAAAGGCTTGGCAGGGGCTTGGAAGGGCTCGGTTCACGCGTAGCCAGAAGCACCAGTGGCAAGCAAGCCGTTGCAAGTAAGATTGGAGAGTGCTTTGGGCTGAGCGGCGCAGGGAAGCGTTGCAAGTGTTCTGGCTGCAGCTTCTGGCGCGATGGCGTCCAGTGATGCGAGTGGAGCCCCAAGAGGCTGAAGAGAGTGAAGGTATGACTCATGACCAAATGCTTGTGTAGCTATCGCTTGTTGTGCAGCACAGAGCGTGTACGCAATTTGCCTGGGATGCTGCTGGCACGCCATTGCCCTGGTGCAGTGGAAACGCGCCAAGCTTTGAGGCGCCAAGCTGGGAGAGGCGCCACGTGGCGCACGGCCTTGGCAGCGTGCGTGCGATCTCGTGCGATGCAGGTGGGAGAGCGGACCTGTGATTTGAATTTGGCACAGATCCGAACCTTCCACATCATTTCATTCGGCCATATCGGCCTTCAAAACAAGAAGCCAGACTAGAGTGTTTCAAGTGGGGGCAAGCAAGCCGCGGACGCTGGTCCGCTTGTGAAGATGAAACCACATATGGAGGGCCCCGGGGGTTCGACTTGGCTCCTCCAAGGGGTCCAGTTTCCTGGCCGTTGAAAACCGCTGTCCAACTGGCATCTCCCAAGGTCTCATGATGTCTCATGTCCGGACCGGCTGGATTTCCAGGGTTCCAGCTGGTCCACAGGGCCAAGAGGGGCTATTCATTGAAGGATGTTGAAGGGAGGTACCTGGTGAGTGGTCATGCGACTTCTGGATACACCCTAGAAGACTACTAACATGGACCCTGAAAACCACTGGTTGGTAGAGGAGCCTACACTCTTCCAGGGAGCCAGCCAGTCAGGGTCTATGTTAGTTGACTCGGGAGTGTACTTTATACGAAGATCATCGAAGATCCCTTGCATTGCTCTTCGCTCCTGGAGTCCACAGTGCTCCGCAGGGTTCGGTCGGAGTTTGCCAGGACCGGCGGAAGAGGTCCTCCCAGCTGCGAGCTGCCCTCCCAGCAATGAACAGTCGGTACGTCATTCCAAAAGATGACAGCAGAAAAAAGAAACTAACAGCTAAAAACACACAACACATAGCCCCAGTGCCTGTGTACACCCTGACACTCATGCCTGGACTGCCTGTCGTTTGCTGTTACCATGTTCACGAAGCCTCGTACTTGCGGGCTGGGCTCCCGGGCCTTTCCCAGGCAAAGTGCACTCCGAAGGGCCTAATGTCCTCATGATCACACTCGTGCCATGGCAAAGAGAGCGGCTCGCTCCGAGCTCCGAGCTCCCGGGGCCGGGGCCAGCCTGATGAGCCATTTTGGGCGGTTCTGAGAGATTTTGGGCGGTCATTTTCATTTTCAGAAGTGTGAAATGAATTGGTGCCATGTCACAAGTATGAATGGCTGCCCAATCTCAAGCAACGTGGTGATCGCGCACCGTGCACTGTCCACCATGACCGGTCCAGACCTCGACCGAGGCTGCGAGGTGACGACCTGGAGCCGAAAAATGACCCAACATACCAGGACCCACGGTCGGGGTGGTTAATGGACACCCCTTAACCTCGAACAGGGGCTATCAATAGACTACACCCCTTTCTCAGGTGTCCTGGGATGGGTTGTTTTTCCAAAAGGTGTCAAATGGCTCCATAGGTAAGTATCCCCCAAACACCTGGCTACTATGGGCTACTATGAGATGCAGAAAGATGCCTGCTAAGTCCAAGACTTTCTGGCTAAAGCTTCTCCATCCATCTAATACCCCACCACGCCATAGCTGCCATCATTTCGCAAAGTCCACCGCCACATGCGGGTCACTCCCGCTAGGTGTCCCAAAACCTGGATAACATGGGTTCAACTGGGTTCCACTGGATCCCCTGTGCCAACCCGAAATACCCGCCCCCGCTTGCAGGTCGCGCTGGGCGTGGGTCTTCTGGGTGGCGGAGCCTTCGCCTGGTGGTACTTTCGGTCACGCAAAGCGTCGTCGCCGCCGACGGTGGGCTGCTTGGAGCCAAGGTGGACGGATTGGTCGAGCAGAGCGATCGAGCAGGGTGGATGTGGTTGGTTGGTGGTCTCCGGTGGGTGGCGGGAGGGGAGGGGCAGATGGGGTGGCGGGAGTGGCCTTCGATCGACGGAAGACCGACTCGAATCGAAGAATTGGTCGAAGTGCAGAGTCGTGAAGAGTCAAGTGAAGGGAAGTGAAGAGTGAATAGACGATATATACCAGCACCCTCCTGGCCAGGCTGTTTTTGGAGACCCACTAACAGGTGATTTCTGGGCACGACTTGTCACTAGGAAGCACCTGTGAAGTCGGGTGCTGGTATAGGTGAAACAGATGGGAAGAGAGGTGCATCATTCTTTATCCGACCTTTTGAGGAGGTTGTGACCCTTCAAAGCCAGACAAGTGTGTTCCAAAATATATGAATTGGTGCAATCTTGACTCAGAGAGTCATCGTCATCATATGATCAATCAACATGATGAAGCCAAATTCACCTATAATTTCTAAGTCTTTCAGCTCTGTAAAAGCAATCTCCTCCTCTGGAAATTCAATCGTTGGTTGGGGTGAGCACTGAGGTGGCGACTCGCTTCATGCCTATCAACCAGACACCTATCACGCGTACAACCCCCAGGTCGGTCCCAACGGCGCGTGGGCATATGGCAGCGGTGCCACTGCAGTGCCTGGCACGTATGGAGCTGACTATGGCAGTGCCTACGGTGGAGCCTACCCTACGCGCCATGGACATGTTGTGGGGGCAGGTGTGTGTTTGTGTGTGTGTGTGTTAGTGGAGAGCCGCCCAAAGCATAAAGCCATCAGAGGCCAATGCCATCCTGAATGGCCAAAGAAACACGCCTTTTCGTTTCATTCCAGTTTTGGTGACGCTACTCCCTAAAGGAAACGGTCGATGGTGTGACTTTTCAGGAACGACATGTTTGGTCAGGAAGCCCCCCCAATGTCGTCGACTAGCCAAGGACACCCGCACCCACGCCCGACACCGGCGGTTTTAATGGAGACGAGCAAGTGGACAACATGGGGTCGTGAATTAGGTCATGGGGTCTGAAAACGACAAAAACGAATCGATGTGCGAATAGTTTTTTTTTTTCTATCAACATGTCTTAGATGGAAGTGGCAACCTAGGACCTAGACTTAGAAGGACTTACTGGTAGATTAAGCAAGCCGTCTTGCTTCGTTGTGCCCATGCCATCCAACTCCGTGTGTTCGTCTGCGTGCTTGAGCCACGCCACACCCACCGTGGGGAGCCGTGGGGTGCTGTCACCGGGGAATCCCATACTGTTCCACCGCTCGTGGACACCAATTCTCAGGCAAGGCATGCAGGGCATGCAGGGCGCAGCGGGCTCAGGTGCCACGGGTGGCTATTGAGGTCCAAAAAGCGCGCCGAAACGAGGCGAAGCGGGGCGTTTCGCCATTCGGATCTGCTAGAGATTGGATTGATCGTCCGAATGGAGATACCTCAGATTCATTCTAGATTTGTCTCCAGATCTTGGGGATTAAGTCTCATTCAACAGATACAGCACCGGATAGAAGCATCCTGATTCACTGTCATTTTTTCACTCCAAATGTTGTTTGGGGGGGTTCTGCCCATTTTTTCACGTGCTTTTGGCGGTGCTGAACGCTGCCGACCTCATGCTCGCATCACAGCTGCGCATCATGTCCTGGTTAGTAAGGACTTCAGAACACCATGTGTTTGAAGGAATCCAAGAAAAGTTCAGGGAAAAGCTTTTGGGCGAGCCGAACTAAGCAATCCTGAATTTGCGCAACATCTCTTCCTAATTGTCTCTCGCATAGTAGTTGACCCTTGTCTTTGGATGCCCCATCGCAGCCAACCTCCGATTCTGGCCGCAGCTCTTAAAGTCACCCTCCTCCAGTCCCATTCCTTTCGGCTTGAGCGGCATTCCACGCGGCATTCGGTCGGGTCGTTCCGTGCTGGTAACAGCGTTGGAGCGGCGCGGCGCTGGGGCGTTGGGGGGGTGCGGATGTAGCGCTGATGGATTTGGATCGAGATGTGGTCTACTGGAACCCCGGCAGCAGCGGATCGCAGATCACGTGGGCAAAAGTTCGTAACAAGTTTGGGAGTCCGGCCCTTGGTGTTTTGGTACATGTGTTGGTGGTTTTCATGAATTGTGCAGACATTAACATCACGTGGTAGACCTACATATTGCACCGAATCAACGCTTTGAAGGTAACTCCTTTTGCGCGACTTGATCTTCAAACGCTCAATTTGTTGCATTTATTGTGCGTGATCGTGTGACACGCTTTTCGATGACTTTAGTGCTGGATTCCAGATGTCAATCCATGTTGAGGGAGGATTTACTTAGTGACTTGGTGCACCCTCTTTGTGATGAGTCGGCTGATGTTGTTTGACGAGGAATGCGCATGCCTTTTGCAACTCCAAACTGCTGGCCGCTTTGAAGGACGCTACGAACGGAGCATTCTGGGCATCGCCACTAGCAAGGTTCGCTACGAACGGGGCTCCTGGCCTTACTACGAACGGAACGATCGGAACGATCGGACGCTTTACTAGTAGGACCCACGGTCGGGGTGGTTCATGGACATCCCGAATCACCTCTTTTCGGGGCTATCAAGTTCGACACCCCTGGTCCGGGCGTCCTCCTCCGCCGTGAGGGGCCACGCGAGCGGAGTGGTCGTCGGGTCGGATGGATCCCCCCGGGACGTGGAGATCGAAAGCGCTCGGACGACCGACATCCACCAACTGGGGATGATCTCCACTTCGATATCTTCGAGTCGGAGCCCAAAAGGATCCACGGTGGACTTCACCACCCCACCAGTCGTGGCCATAATAGGCCATATTTGCTTCGACCATGGATCGTTGCATTCCCATTCACTTCGTTTCTTTCCCCGAAAAATGGTGGAGGCCCGCAAAAAGACGCGGCGAAACACGTCGATAAAAACGCGCGGCCGTTCGTAGGCGGCGCCCCTCGTTCAGAACAAAGCCTTGCTTGGGGAATTTCGGGAACTGCCATTGGGCACTTAGAAGTCTATTGGTTCGCGCACAGGCAAAACGCTCCGATGAGCATCTCCAAGATGATGTGTCAACTCAAAGGAGGTTGAACGGGACATTTCAAGATTCCCACCCCATGAGCACATGAACCAGTTGTTAAAGGCAAGGACGGAGAGGTTTTGAGGTCAAGAGTCCTGGTTAGGGTTACTGAGGAATTCAGGTATATCTTCAACAACAGGCTCATTTGGAGATTTCCAGAGCCTTGCTTCCGCTACTGCATAATTTCAACCAGAATTATGCCAGTGAGGTTCATGATCAGAGAGGGCCATTGTTTTCCACTGATTTGTCGCACACCTAGCTGAGGCCCACTCAGCTGAGCCCAGAATGGGTGGACATGTCATTAGGAAACGGCCGATCCTTGGCACAAAAATCGCGTTTCTCTATCGCTACATCCCGTCATTTTCATGCAGATCCCTTGCTCTTGTTTTCCTCTACCTGGACCCGACTTCAAGTACCTTAGAACATGGGGCATGACCCCATAAAAAATCAGGTACTTGTACCCATTTTCCGAGGTACGAACGGGTCGACTCCAGGTAGATCCCTTACATCGAAATGGGTGATCCAGGGCTCATGGCTAAAATGACCTCGAAGGATTCTCTGGAAATCCTGTGTGCATCAAGTGGTATCAGACTGAACCTGTGCCCGATGGCCGTACTCGCACACTCGCAGGACCTGTTGGCCTTGCGTGCGGCGCAGTTCACCGTGGAGAAGGGCTGGGATCCCTTTTTGGATGCGCCCCTGGGCCGGCGAAACGGCGTGGAATTGGGAGGATCTGTACACTGTGCACACTCCCTGGCACCTTGGAGACCAGGTTCCGAACTGGCGGTGCACCTCCACATGTCTGCTCGTGGCACCCTAAAAATCA